AGATGAAATCATTTTTTTGTACCATGGTACTAAATTCGGGGGAATTTACAAATGTACAATATATAATACATAATTATAATTTTTTTGTATGTAAACTCCAACGGGGACTACATTTTTTTTATTTGAAGATAGGTGTAACTGATATTATTTTTACATTTTTCCGATTTAATTTGTATGTATTATACTATTATCTTTATTTTTAAACTTTCGGTTAAAAGTAAATTTTATTGTATGTTATACATATTATAGTATGCGATTTTTTGATTATTATCTTGTAGATACTTTAAAAATATATAGTATTAGCAGTGGCGTACCCAGGATTTTAGAACTGTGGGTCTGCCTTACTTACGAGAGGCCACTGTGTAGAAACTTCAACCAACTACCTATATAGTTAGGTATTACAAAATCACTCTGGGCTCGCGATTTACCTTATTAGTTATTTACATCACATTTTGATACCAACGTTCAATATAACTATATCACATATTTTACAATTTTACAATTTACTTACAAGCTTTAATAGCTATATTTAATTTATTTTTATTTTTATTTGTTGCATTAAAATTTATATTCAATTAAAAAATTTACTTGACATATTTAAATCATTAGAAGAAATTATACAAATTTATTATTTTATTTGTATACGTATATTTGCAGTATATTTATTTTATTTTAGTTTTCAATGACTGATTTCATTTTCACAAGAGATATAGAATAGGTGGTTCTAAATTCTAATACAATAGAAAAGTCAAAAATAATACATTAATAAAATTTATATTTAATAATACCTACATGAAAATAATAGTAAAGAACTAGAACATTACAATCATTTTCTGCGCTTTTTCATTAGTGCGAATTATGTACTTATTACGTTAACAAAATCAATGGTTTGAGCTATGTTGCTTTCTATGCTCAATATGGCCAAATTTGATAGCCGGTCTTCAGTCATAGTTGAGCTAAGGCATGTTTTGAGAAGTTTTAGAACGCTTAAACATCTTTCTGCAGTTGCACTGCTGACTGGTATAGTGTATAAAAAATTTTATACAAAGTATATAAATTTGGATATGAAGAAACCATGTCTCGTGATATCATGAATTTTCAATACATCATTTAATTTTAAAGGTCCAGTTACTCCAGTTTCAATAGTTTTGCCATTTGTTGGTAAACTAGATGCAATGAACGGTATTCCACTTCTACATCAATTTCATCTATGTCAACTTCATAAAATCTTATATAATATATTAATATCTATATCCAACATATTTTTATACTTGTGTTTATCGAATTTTAGGTACGTACATTATAAGTTGATAAGCTTAAACACGATTTCGTACGCGTTATTTTACTTCAATACTCAGTCTTCACAGCTGTATATACGATATACCCCTATATCATAATAGCAGATCTTCGATATTTTGAAGGGGGGGGGCACATATAAATTTAATTTTAATTAATAATACATACATACTATCAATAATGATTATAATAAGTAATAATTAATAGTTGGTAGTATTATCCTTATCAATTGTATGTTTCATTTATATGATACTCGTAGTTACATAACAACTTGTCGACAGAAAATTGACAAGGGGCACGTGCCTCTCCTCTAAATTCACCACTGTACATAATTTTTTCAAATAAAAAAATGTTTATATAGTTTGCCATTTCGAGGGGCCACATTTAACTGGGAAAACAACTGTGGGTCAGCTGACCTCCCAAACCCCTCCCTGGGTCCGCCCCTGAGTATTAGTATACCAAGTTGATGTTTCGTTCAGATAGCATTGTACTAGATTACCAACCATACTCAATGTCTCGTATTCTCATACCTATTTTAGTTTTAATTATTATTTTTTTTTTTTAAATATTTTCGGTTGAGCATTGGTTAATTTTTACCGATGGAATTTACACGGTACCCTAAATTCGTACCCCTCTCACCACAGTTGGCGCTGAAGTCTTGTCGGAACCGACGGTATTACGTCTGTAAATCGCATAAAACCGGAACGATAAATTGAATTATAATATTATATTATTAAATAGCCGTGCACAGCATGCAACGGAAGGATAGTGAAAGGAGCGGCGAAAATAAATGAAATAATCAAGCGAGAAAACCGCCGACGCCGATCGCGACCGTGCACGCCGTTGCCGCTTTGGAGGGGAGGCGCACAAGTCAAGCGCCGCCGTGCGTGCAGGCGCGCGAGCGCAAATTTCCGCGCGTCATGCGCGGTCGCGGCGCGTGCGAGCGAGAAAATGACGGGTGGCGGAGAGAGCGAAAGAGAGGAGAGTGAACGGGAGACACTGCCTCGCGGTGTTCCTCAAACCGCGACCGTGTTTGAATCTCGCGAGCGTCTCTTTTTTCGGCGGTTTTGCTCTTTCGTCTATTTATTTACATTTTTTTGTCTCTCCCAATAATTAACATTTCCCCCGCCGACGGACGTTCCGAATTTTTAGCGATTCCCGGACGGGCCGTGCGTGTGCGTGCGCGGGCGCCCCCCTCGCGCGGCGTGTGCGTCGTAGGTAAATACGCGTGGGAAAAAATTCGGGCACCCTCCCCACCCCGCTGCCGTAGCATTTTTTTCCCGATCGGTGGCCGCCGCGCCGCACCAGCACCGCCACCGCATACCGTCGCGCGGCGTATGTGCGTAGTCGGCCGTCGTTCGCATCAGTACCGCAGTACACGCACACGCACACGCACTCGACCCACTCGATGACCGCCGCCTGCTGCCGCCGCAGACACCTCCACCACCAAAACCACCGCCACTGCCCGCACTTCCATCACCGCCAGATACGGCACTACCGATATCCCCTCCACCCCCCACCGGAGCCCATCGTACCGACAACAACAACAACGACGACGACGCGGCGGCGGTACGTCATGTCCAGGCCGCACCGGCGCCCGTCTGCCGTGAGGGTTCGCGCGCAGTTTTTACGTCGGCCCGCGGCCGCCATGTGAGCGAAATATTTTCCTCCACGCACGCACACGCACACACACACGCACACATTGTTGTCGCCGCCGCCGCCGCGCCGTCGTCGTCGTCGTCGTCGTTTTTCGGTCGTCGCATTTCGTATCGCCGGTGCACACGACCACCGCCGCGCCGCCGATATCGTCGTTCGCCGTTCGCTGTCGACGGGGCCGCTGTAGACCCGAGGTAGGTTGTTATTACTATTATTATTAATTATTATTAATTATTGTTGTTATTTATTTTTATTGTCGTCTTACTTCGTGCACTCGATATTATGTATTATTTAATTTTTTAAATTTGTTTTTATAATATCCCAAAAATAGTAATTTTTTCAATATCATCTTTTTTAAAAAAAATATTTTTTTGTTTTTCTTAAATTAAAACGTACTCTTAAATATTTTTTTCAATCGAATCGGATTTTCAATTTTTTTTTGCGGCCAAACGTTTTACGAATTTTTTTTTTTGCGACTGCATTTATTTATTTTTGTCGTGGAGTGCTCTCGTTTTCATGCTGGTACGGGGCGCCGCCGTGCCGTGCGCATCCAGTATGCTGAAGTGCACCCAGTGCTCCTCATTCGTTGCAATAATAACAACAACAATAATTTGTTGTTATTGTCATCAGCTGCTGCTGTCGGGGCGATTATCGTTGTCATTATATCGCGTAATTTAAAATATCGCATCAACTTATATTGTGCTGACCAACGCACCGCGTAGGTATCGACCGCGCGGTTCCGTCGGGTCCCGCCAAACTACGATGGAAACCAAATCGGTCAGTCTCGTTTCGCTTCAACCCCTAAGTCCTGCCGCCAGCTTTTATAATATGATAATATTTTCGATGTTTTAAGTAATATTTTACCGTTCAATATCGTCGTCTTCGCCGTCGGAGGGTTGTCGACGAACTGACGACGGTCCGTTTGTTTACAACAATAGTATATTATTATTATTGTCGTTTTCACTTTTTTTTTTCCTTTCGGGTGGGGGCGGCGTATTACAGTAGCCACACATTTTAGGCATAACAATAATACTATATATATACACGTCCTTTCACCCCCTGTCCGTTGGAGGTCGTTTTTCTTATCAACAATCCCTTTTCGCGGATTTATTTTCGTCGGCTGATCCGAAAATATCCCAATATTAATATTATACCTATTATTATACACCACGAGAGTGACAGGCTGACGAACGATGATTTTTATTAACAATAAATTATTATTATTAACAATATTTTTCACCGCAATAAAATACCTACACCCCGATAATATCGTGAAGGGCCATTTTCGGCGATATTCGCCGCAATAGTAGCGCACTCGTTCTTTTTATGGCCAGAAAAAAATATTAAAATTGATATTTATACGTCTCCGTTCATCGAGTGCAAAAATATTATTTGCGTGGTAACATTTTTGAAGAAAAAATACTCCTTTTGAAAATAGTATGAATAAAATTAAAAACATTAAATAGGTACTTCCTATGTTTTTTATTTCGCGATTCGAAAAAGTGTTTAACAAACACATTTTTAATTTAAATTTTTGTAGGAATGTTATAATTAAGCTTGCTAATGTACTTATAATCTATAATAATAATTTATATTTACTTATACATAATTTATAAATCATTAGATGATGATTTAGGTATATCTACATTCATTGTGGGAGTTTTTTTTTATGCACCTATAATTAGGATCACTACTAAAATATTTTATAAACCTTTTAATTTCACATTACCTATGATTTTAATAATTTAGAAATTGTATTTTAATTACATTTAGCACAATTTACTATCTTAACGTTTTTAGTTTTTATGGATAGATTAATGTGCTTTTCAGTACTTTAATAAACAGCTAATGCTTTAGAAAATACTTGTAAGATTTAAGTCTTGTCAGTCCCTTTAATTTTCAATTATTTTGACTTTTAAATTTATGATTATCAAATAAAATATTTTAGATTTTAGATATACCAATAAATTAATTTAATTAATCATTAATAAATAATTTGTTTTATTTTATAAAATTACTATTTATTTTCAGATGAACATAAGTCAATAATGGGCGGAATGGATACAGACCAATTATATTCCGTGCGCTGGAATGAATTCCACACAAGTATTATAACATCATTCAGACATTTACTCGATCAAGAAGACTTTATAGATGTTACTATCGCTTGTGATGGTCATTCATTTACTGCACATAAAGTTGTGCTCTCTGCATGTAGTCCTTACTTCAGATCTCTGCTCAAGGTATGACTTTGAAATAACATATACATATATATAATATTTAAACAATTTATCATAATGTATTCCTTATTATTTTTAGGCAAATCCATGCCAACATCCCATTGTAATCCTTCGTGATGTTAAGAAACAAGAAATGGAAGCATTATTAAGTTTCATGTACAATGGAGAAGTTCGGATCAATCAAGAACATTTACCAGAGTTTTTAAAGACTGCTCGTAGCTTGCAAGTACGAGGTCTCGTTGACTTTACTAAAGAAAACCAACCGGTAAGTAATAAACTAGCTGTGGGGCATGCATGATTTTTTTGCAAATGTTTGACTGATACATTTTTATTTGATTTATTAGTCCTCGTGGGGAAGTTCAAGCGTAGTTCCAGTTGATGTTGTTGGAAAAAATAAAGCCAGTGATAATTTACCTAGCCCACCATATAAAAGACAACGCAATAACTCTGAACAGTTGACTACTCAACCATTGACTCCTAGTAGTAGTTATAATGCTGATAGAGATAAAGATACACCATCACTGCTCGTTCAAGCATTGGAATTGAATCAATCGCAGTCAAGTCAGGTAATAATTAATACTTACTGTCATGCGTTAAAAATGAGTAGGTATATTTACTAATTTTTGTGTGTGTTTGAATTTAAAGAACAAAAATACAGTAGACTCGTCAGTCACTGGTCATTCGTCTGACGAAGAAGATAGCAATTCTGGAGATTCAGATGGCAGTCATACAGTTAATGATACACGTTCAAATGTAAATCAACAAAACAATGACATAGTTATTCAACCTCAAATATCTCAGGCCCAACATTCAAAACTAGAACCTGTAGATTTTTTATCAAGTAGTGGAAATAATCATGACCTACACAATACATCAATCTCGATTGAGCAACAGTCCAGGCATTCTTTTCCTACATCAATTTCATCTGGAGTTTCAATTATAAGTAGCTTACAAGGTTTGTTTATTTTGTACAAAATCTTATAATTTTTTTAGTATTAAATAAATAATAAATATATTAATTATTTTAGGATTACCAGGTCTATTACCAGGTCCATCAGGCATCCACAACAATAACCAAGAAAACAGCTACGGTGAGTGAATATTTATATTATGCTTACTAACAAAAATTGCAATATGCTTTAAAAATGTCATTTAGATATACCTAATATTAGTTATTCCCAACCACTATAAATAAATAATAGTATAATATATCTATTAATTCACAAAAAAAATTTGAATTTAAGTATAAAGCTTAATAATTATAAAAACTGAATATAGCATTTTTGTGTATGTCATGGAAAAAATTTATACATTTACTGCCTGACATTCATGTTATTCATTGTATGATCTTCAATAGGTACCTACTAAACAACTTCAATTGTTGAATGGTGTGGGTACATTTTATAATTATCTAGTTTTTAAATAAATACACATTTGATAGTATCATAATATTTAATTTTATATTATTATTATACTATAGGTCATATAATATTAATAAGCTCTGGTTACCAATATATTATGTTTCTTTGCTGAATTTAAATTTAAATTGTACTCCGTGTGTTACTTGAGAACTAGCTCAATGGTAGGTATATTGACTACTATATTATTGAATTATTTATAAATAAAAAAGAAGAATTATCTGCCAACTAGAAATTTGATTAATTAGATTTTCGTTATCATGTTACAGAGAGAGTAAAAAATAACTAACATACTAATTCTATACTTAAGGTAAATTTTAAATAGAAAAAAAAAATTATCCAATTCGTATTATGAATTAATTTTGTTGAAACTTACTAAGGATTTTTTTGTTATCGTTCTACATATTTTTCATATGGAAATTATAACTATTAACTGTTCGATCTATTTTTATTAGTTTGGTTTATTTTGCGATTGATGTTTCCTAAGCAATGAGGTGTTTGAGCCTGACAACTAATTTGGTAGGAGTATTGAATACTTGTACATAATGTACTTGGAGAAAACGAGTGAATTGTATAAACTCTGTCCGAGAGAGTAAATGCCGTGGCCTGACTAAAATCAGTTCTTCAGCGCATCTTTGCTTGACTTTGTGGTGTCCTATGGGGATCCGTGCTTTCTGTCATTAGATAAGTATAGTTTCTATTTAAAGGAAAAGAATAGGTATTTATTTTAAAAAATATAGATTTTGGATACATAAGAAATCAGAAGAATCAATGATTCAAATAAAATTGTTTTCTACTGATTACTGTTCCTCATAAGTTGTAACAATTTGTATAGTTTGTATTGCTATATATTTTATTTTGGTATTTTTTTGGAGAAATTCCATTACATTTTGTATAAAATGTGAACATCCTCACAGAGACTACAATTAACTTTAACCTTTATCCATCTAAAGTTTTTTTATACTTTTAAAAATTAAATTTAATAGTGATTAAATGTTAGTGCCTCATTTTTATTTGTTTTAAAAATATAATATATATATAATATTTAGTTATTTATTTTAATAACGACTTGCATACATGTATATGAAAACAAAGATTAATTATTAAATCAAGATAATAGGTGAAAAAGTAAATCTCTGTTAGATGTTAAATTAATCAATTCCAATTTTTGAAATATGAAGATTCAGGGATCTATTTAAGATCTTGTTATTATAACTTTATGTAGAGAGTAGACAATATCATTAACCTAATTTAAAATGTTTATTATTATTATTATTATTTATTTACAATTTCCAATGAAAATGTCAAACAAACAAATAAGTTTCATTTTTAAAATGATAAGCATAACATAAGTATTTGTTTGATTTCTTTTTATTTATTAAATAAAATATAAGATATATTTAACATTTTAATTATCTAAACGTTTTTTATAGTTCTACATTGTATAAACACTTCCCAATATGAAATGGATGTTACAATAAACTATTTATATTTCTTGAAATATTTCATCAAAAAAATACATGTACCTATATTCTTTATTTTATACATTCTACAAATGAAAAAAATTTTATTTCTCCTTATGTTCCTTTTATATTGAGGGTTGACTGTAGCAATATTAATAATTTGTTTTTGAGGAACCTACTTAAAATCAAATTAATAACCAACTTGTGTTCACAATTTAATATTTGTTGATTCTGGTATTATGTGTACCACTAATAAGCTATTTGAGACAAATTTAAATCCCTCTTTGAAGAATTACATTTATTTAAAAATATAAAATTAACTTATAAATCTTGGAGATTTAAGAATAGTTTAAAATAGGACATAATAATAATAGTAAAAAAAAACATTAAGTTGGCTAATGATAAAGAATAAAACAACGTTTAATAATAGCTCTACTATGCACTGATGAATTATGAGTAATTTTACAATATTAAAAGAAATATAAAGTATAAATACATAAAGTGAATTGGCTCATTATTTTTAATTTATTAAAATATATTGGCTTCTCAGGATGATAATTTTTTTTTTATAAGACTTGTTAAGCCAAATATTTTATGTTTTTGTTTTTAATATTAACTATATCTGTTACTTATTAATTTCAGTTGTACATTGTTATGTATGTAATCAATATTGAAAATATTCAATAAAAATGTTAAACTGTGCATCATAGAAATATTTTTAGATAATGTTTGATATAATTAAACAATTTTTCCGATAAATGTTTTCTAATTAATAATAGAAAGTTATAACTTATAACATTGGTCCGAAATTGGTTCATGCCCTATTGATTTAATATTTAAATGAATTCTTTAAATAGATAACATTGGTCCGAAATTGGTTCATGCCCTATTGATTTAATATTTAAATGAATTCTTTACATAGATAACATTTAGTAATACATTCTATATCGGGTTATCTACCTGTATGTTAATCCTGGTAAAACTAACTTCTGATACATTGATTTTAAATCTATAGTTTCTGATTACCTACCTACATATTTTACAATTAATTAAAATAAAGATCTTGAAACTAAAATGTGTATAGGTACTATATTTTATTTGTATTCTATTTATGGGGATGAATATTCAGATGACAATAATTTGAGTTATTAATAATTTAGAATTTAGATTTTTTTTTTTTTCGTTTTCTTTGTACATATTCCATTAGTCTAATAATATATGAACCTATATTATATAATATGATATTACTATGGGTACTATACTATTTGTGTAAAGTCGAACCATCAACATTTATTTCTAGACTGTAACGGAAAGAGTATGACTATTGTACTTAATATTTTTTTCCCATCTGGAAAACGTTTATGTGTATACCGAACAAATTCGAAATTAATACTTTGATATTATTGATGAGTGATGACTGTTAAACATAATATTATAATATATCGTGTACGTTTGCAATTTAAGTAAAACAATTTAAAACTAACGGAATACTATTATCATTGATTAGATGTTTCTGTATTTCATTGATCATCAGAGTTGTTTACGACTAAATTGTTTTGTTATAAAATGTATTCGCCCATAAGACTTAGATAAAAATAGTAGGTACTACACGCAGGCAACGTTTGTTGGTACACTTCAAAGAACTCAAAAATGTATAAATCTTAAAGTTCGTGGCAATTTTTGTATATTATTTAAAAAGTTGGTTTGAATATTTATACAAAACGTATTTCACACAATATAAAAATAACAATTGTACCTAATGTTAAGAGCTATAATAAACGACTCAAAATATTAAACGATTAAAATAGAAATAATTACCTAATACTTCGATAAAATTTAACACTATAAATACCTATTGAACATACAATAATATTATGTTACATACTTACATGTTATTATTATTATTAAAATAACTATTTAGATATACAACACATGTGCTTAGTGCTTACGCCTTACACTGAAATGAATTAGTCGTTTTAATTATGATTTATGAAATATCAATAATATTCATAATATTACATCCATTTATTTTGAAGTGATAATTGGAACTTATAAAGACATTGTTGTAAATTGTTATGTTGTATGATATTGGTGATCGTTTATTCGTGTTTTTTACTTTCGTTAATAAATTAGTATATTTTACATTATTATGGATGGATTTAAACTTAACGAGAACGCTACACGGATATATTATGTTGTCTCCGTCTCACAAGTGCATAACATAGCAATTTACGGTCAACAGATTAGGTACGTTTAAAAATGAGAGTGAATCGGCCTATTACGAAACTTGATGGCAAGACCATTATCTGTTTTTACGATAATTCAGTTTTAAAGTGAGGAATAATGAGCATTTTCAATTTACGCTATATAATATACGCATAACTAACTAAAAAAATTTAAATATCGTAAAAAACACACATACAAACATAGATGATGTACTTAACATAAACTTTCGTAATAGGTCGATTAATGTTAAGTTTTAAACTAACGGAGCTAAACGCGTTCCCCTGAACGTAAATTTGCTATGTTACGCACTTGTAAGACCAAGACAACAAATGGCCGTGTTGCGTCCTCTTAATTTTTACCTTGTGTACAAAAATACTAAGTAAAAATAAAAATGCTAGTCATAAAAATGCTTGTCTTCAAAAACTCGGTGCATATTACACAATACAATTAAAAGAAAATCCATTAAATTATAAATTATTATTTTAAATTTGTATCTGTTAAACAACTATTTGTATGTATAGATTCGTGTGTTTGCATTATTAAAATTGTTTAATGTGTTGTATTAATTCACAGTAGCGTTTTGTTTTGTACATTTAATTGCGTAAACATTGATAAAATATTCTCATTGATCAAACTATTAGGTATATTAAAAACCATTTACTGTTTTATTTTTAATAACAATAATTATCCTATACATTTCAAATATTAAATACTAGCTGAACCCGTGCACTTCGTTGCCCCGTTAAATGTACCAACTCTATATGACTCAAACTTTGTTCAATTCGTTATTTAAAATTCGGTGTATGGCATTCAAAATTTATCTTAACTATTCTGTTGCCTGGAATAAAAATTCTGATTCGCAGCAGTATTATATATCAGGTAGGCAATCTACCTGCGGTAGATCGCAGACCCAGTTGTGTTGGTACGTAAGTGTATGATTTAACTCTAAAGTATCAAAGTTATACCAAGTTTATTTTGATATAATACGGTGG